TGTAAAAAAATTCATTTGTATTGTTTTAGGCTACTAAGAATGTGATCATTTGTTACAGGAATAATATGAATCTAACACAGTTCATTAGCTATTGCTCCATAAATGACAACTACAAAATCTCAGTTGCATACAAACATAAGCATTGACTTCTGGCTCACATGTCTCCATGTCAGCTAGGCTCTGCTGACCTTTGATGGGTTCTATTGGCACCCCACTATTGGTTCAGTTCACCTCTACCCCATGAATCTGTCATCCTTCTGGAAATAGCAAGTTGCCCAGAAAATATCCTTCTCATGTTAAAAGAAAAGGATGCCAAAGCACAAGCCTAACTAAGCAAGTACATTTCAAACATTTGCTCATATCACATCTGTTGATATTCCATTGATCAAAGCAGTTTACAGGCCAAACCCAAGATCAGCAGAGCAGTAAAATATCTTCTGCCTCTAGTGGGAGGAACTTCAACACCTCAGGACAAAGAGCATAGATTTAGGGAGGGCTGAAGTAGTAGGAAAAATAATGCAATATGCCGAGTGATGTGCTGGTAGAACACCTTTCAAAAAACAAACAAATGAACAAGAAGAACCCGGATTTATACCATTTGCTGATTCCCATGGTGTAAATATTCCCACTGTGGTTGATTTTAAGCTACCAACATGACATCACTGAACACAAAGTTGAGAAGAGATACCCACAGTGGGCTCTCATAGCCAGCACCAGTCAGCTCCAGCATAACACTGAATCTACAAATCAATCAAACCAGTCGTTACATATTCATCCCTGAACAATGTCTCATACCATTCTATCTGAGTGAAATTCTTCCACCTTTCAAATGCCACCTTTTGTTCAAATCTTCTGTTTTCCTAACTAGAAGTAATTCCTCCCTTCTTGGCATTTTCATAGTACTTTCTTGTAGGTATTTTGTTTTTTTTCATTTACTTCTCTGGAATACTTACTGTGTATATCGGCATACGCTTTCTGGGTTTCAAGGTACTAGAAATTAGAGACTATCTCTTATACACCGTGAGTTCCTGCAGTACTTTGTACACAGTAGGTATTAATAACTATCTAGTGGATGAATGAATGAGTGAGATACATGAAAGGATAAAAAAATGTTAGATTTATTGGGCAAGTGATGTTCTGGCAGAATAACGTCATCTGAAAGATATAGGCCAACTAAGAATGCCAAGGAACCAGTAACCTAACCCCAGAGAACACAAGATTCTGAGCATGCACAGTGGGTGAGAAGTTTTGTCTTCCTAAACTATTCAGCATTTGAAAACTCCCACAAAAGCTAATTCTGAGAAAACAAAACATTCTCTTCTCCACCATTAGGAAACAGAAGCTCTAACACCCACAGAGAATTTAGAGGCCCTACATGACTGAAGCAGTGGAAAATGATTCTGCTTCATAATCCATAGCAGTTTTACAGAAATCCTCCATTTTTATTGTCAGGAGGAAGCCACAACTGTTGCCACCTGGCAGCTGTCGAGACCTGGGATTCAAATCAGTAGAACCAGACTCGTTTCCTATGGAAATACCCTTTTCAATTCTATCATCAAACTCATCCCTGTGAATGAGGCTCTCTCCCAATCTCACTGCAAAGCACAGAGAGAGAGTCTGCTTGGAATTGAGATTTTTACTGAAGCAATTTTTAGAGTTTGTGATTCAAACACATTCATGGGTAGAGTAAGAAAGTGTACAAGCATTGTGGCTGTCCCCTGTTGTGGTGTTTATGAAACAAAAAATAAGACTTTCATTTCTTTGCTTTTGTTCTCTTTTAAAGCTCCTGCATATGAGAAAAGAGTTTTATAAAAACTGAAATGCAGATAGAGCCCCTTTTCTCTCCAACAAAGCATCTTTGATACAGATAACAGAGCCTTGGTGCATAAGATACACACAAGTGTCATTTCCTCCTTCCTTGAGAGTCAGGGATAGCCTTATATGTGTAGGGAGAAAACTTAAAGATCTAGGCATATTCTTTTGAAGTGAGGCAAATCTATCCTGTGGAAAAATATATCCCTCCCTTGGTCTGTTATGTCAATAATCTCTCTTCCTACATAGCATGAAATGTCCACCATTGTAGTGGCTTCTCCAGATTAAATAATAAGACTGGGCATTGATTCAAATGGTCCAAGTAAAATGTGCTCATTCTTTCAATTTACCATTTATTATATACCTACTGTGTTCCTGACACAGTGTTTAACTCTAAAGATAACAAGATTAATTTTTTTTAATTAAGAAAAACCATCCCTATTCTTAAAGAGCTAAGAGTCAAGTAGGGAAAACAGACATAAATAGTTAGAGCTTAGGTGTCCCCACATCTGATCAGACACACACATTGAAAAATCTCTTATTAAAGAGTGAAGCCAGTGTTCAAAGGGAGCCATACTGACAATGTTACAGACTCCATTGGATCTTACTCCCACATACTCATTGAAAACCTCAGACTTCTTTAAAGTATGCCTTGAAGATTTCTGAATGGCCCGTTGGGGTATCTCATATACATTCACAAAGATATGCACTTTGACCAAGAACTACTGTGTCCTGACCCAAGGGGCTAGAGTTCTCGTGGGAGATGTTCAGTAGTACATTCGTTTTGGGTAACATTCTGTTGGATGGCATCCTGGGTTCTCCAATATCTTACAGATATTTAAGGATTCTATTTCTTAATTGCCATACAAGCCCTCTTCTCCCTATAGGCCTGTACTAGTTCAAAAGACAAATCTGAATGACAAACACTGGACTTTGCTAAAAATCCGCATTCTCTTGGAATGCCTAAGCCATTACTTACTGAACTACTCTTACTGGGCCTGCCTCTTTCTTCAGTGACCTGGCTCACAAAAGACCTCTCCACCAGTTACGTAGTCATGATCAGGCATACCTTCAAAGCTCTACGACTCAAGCTGGGACTTTTGCTGCTCTTGTAACATTTACACAGTTTGATTGGTGCAGCCTAGTGGAAAAAAACAGAGAAAGCATCCTACAGGAAGTCAAACACAGGCTGAGGGCTAACAGATGAAACAAGAGTTGCCCAAGAAAAGGTGAGGAATGATAATGCCAGCCATGAGGTAGAGTAAGCAAAGGACACTTTAACATTGCGTAGTGTAAGCTGTTATCATTACCTTGCAGTGCACATGGTGGGCATGTGTCCCATTTCTAGTATTACATATTAACACATCACTGATTTAGTCAGTGGCAGTGACTCAGTACAATTTGAATACAACAATGTATCATTGTAATGCTTATTTGAATATTTTATGCAGACACCATAATACCTATGTAAATCACAACTGGTAATTAAATTAAAATACCTAATTTTAATTGTGTGAGTAAATTACTCTTCTGATTTAAAAAGAAAGTATGGACAGATTTTTCCATTTAAAATGAAGGCATACAATGCATACAGAATTGAAAGGAGACACGGAAATGAGTACTATGACCGGAATAGAAGGTATGCCACAAATTCCACAATGAATGGCAATTGCAATTTGCTACAGCAGAACAGAACAAAAAGCTATTTGTGTGTAAAAATGCTTTAGAAGAAAAAAAAAGTGGGAAATATTAAGAGACACTTTCAGCAAATACATAGTGAGTTTGATAAGAAGTTTTGTATCAATAGAAAAGGAATCCATGAAATGGGTCACCTGAAATCAGAATAAAATGTCCAACAAAAATTATTTTTATGATTTGTAAGTTTGGCCAGCTATGTCTTCGATTCCTGCACAAAAAAAGAAAACCACATTTAGATAGAGAAACAGTAAAAGGTTTATTATTGCAGTTATGGAAATTGTGTTCGAAAATTATAAGGAAAAGATTTAAAATGTTATTTTCCAAAAAGTGAAAGATTGTCTATTATGGCACAAATTACCTGTGAAATACAAGACCTTTCTAACAATTTCAAATATCAATTTATATGAAATTTGAAAAATTACATGTACTTTTCTGTAGTTTTATATGAGTCATGCAATATAAGTAGCACTACCCAATAATACTTTGGGTACATTTTGTCTCAAAGGACTTAAATATTTATAAAGAAATTATGTCAATTAGTGGCCTAAAAATCAAATTCATGTGTAGATATTTCTGAATCTTTTACATCTGTCAAAGAAGAATTTCAACTAGATATGAAAAATTTTGTTTCTATCATAACAGATGATACTTCAACTGTATTAGTTTGAAAAAACAGACTTACTGAATTTCTAAACAAAAGACTGATGTTTCCCTTATTGCTTTGTTCCACTCTATTATACATATTGAAAATATTTGTGCTCAGTTTTCTGAGGCAAACTAAGAAAAGTGTCATGGATACAGTTATTAAAATTGTTCAGTACACATGCAAATGCTATGAATCATTGCCAGTTTATGGAACTGTTGACAGAAATAGAAGACAATGATTGTCTATTCTTTGCCAATGCTTATTGGCTGAGTTGTGGAAGAGCTTTGCAAAGATTTATTGTACAGTACTTTTAAATAAAACTGAAGATTTTCTTAAGGCAAAAAAGGAATACTTGCTAAATAGTCGATAACCAAGGACAAAAATGGCAGTGGGATTGACATTTTTTCACTGATATCAACTGCACATCAAATTTTTATACCAGCTTTATTGAAATATAATTCACATACCATACAATTCACCCATTCATTGATTTTTATTGCTGAATGGTAGTCCATTATATAAATGTACATTTTATTTATCCATTCATCAGTTGATGACATTTACTTTGTTGCCACATTTTGGCTACTACAAACAATGCTGCTATGGACATTTGTGTTCCAGTTTTTGAGTAGACATATGTTCTCATTTCTCTTGCATATATACCTAGGAGTGGAATTGCTAGACCACATGGTAACTTTATAACTTTGTGAGGAGCTACAAAACTCTTTCAAAGTAGCTGCACCAGTTTAAATGCTCATCAGCAGTATATGAGGGGTCCAATTTCTTCACATCCATGCCAACACTGTTATTATATTTTTTATTCCAGCCACTCCCAGTGGGTATGAAGTGGCATCTCATTGTGATTTTGATTTGCATCTCCCTGATGGCTAATCATGTTGAAGAATGAGGTCATTTCAACCTCCAAGGAAAGGAAAAGCTTCTTTGTGAATGACACAGGTATGAGACTTTATGTTGAAATCGAAACTTTTCACAATAGAAATCACTAATAATGATTTTTCACATTTTTCTAACATGAAATGATATGCAGAGGATTTAAATTGTAATTGATAGATTTATGTAAGGTGGCTACAAAAAAATCTACAGAAAAAATTTGAAGAATTCCTTTTCATTTTGATGAGTTGTTTTTCAATTTATACAATATCCCTTTGAACTTATTAGTCATACTGAGTTGACACAAGATTTAGTGACTTTGCTTAACTTGGACAGATGTAGCTTTGAAACTGATAAACTTTTTATTCAAAATCAAAATCAATTATCTAAAAATAATAAGCCAGTTTTGTTAATGTGTATGCAAGTATTTAAGGCACATGCTTTTCTGGTACTTGCTTGATTTCAGCTATTGGAAAACTCTTAAATATGTGTAGAAAAACAGGTATGTGAATCTACTTCTTCAACTGAAAATTATATGAAATCTAAATTCACTTCAAGCATCCCCAATTAAAATTTAGCACACAAATTGAGATGTACTGTAAGTACAAAACAAGTACAAATTTTCAAAGACTCAATATGAAAAAATAATATGATATCTCAATAATATATTTTTCACTTGATTATATGTGGAAATGATAATATTTGTATATATTAGGTTAAATAAATTATGTCACTTAAATTCCTTTTACTTATTTCCTTTTCCTCTTTGTAATGGCTAATTTCAGTGTCTAATCTGTATTATTAAAGGGAATACTGGGAGCAAAATTCTGTGTATAAAGAACTACAATGAACTGAGATGGGAGGGCATGCATGTTCTGATGAAGAGAGTTGCCAAAACTGGAACTTACCTGCTGATTCACTGTTTGCTTGGGATCAGTGCACCACCAAGCAGAGAATCTTCATGAAAACTAGAAATGGGTAGAATCTTGACCAGTGGAAGAAGATTTAAGACTAATTTAAGTTGTGATACTTTGGTACTTTTGAAAATTCTCATCTATCAACATATTTACTGATTCTCAGGGATACCATATTATGGCTGAGATATGCAAATCATTGAAGCAAATCTATGTAAACAACTAAGAAATGTACATGACAAGTGAATGCAATGATTTCCACTTTGCAGCCAGCAGGTTCTAACCAGGAGGACTGAACTGGAATAACACTACAGAGACCAATTTGGAAATGTCTGTACAGAAGTAAACTGATTGTTAAGTGGAAGATTACAACAGACGTAGCAAGGAATTATTTTTATCATAAACATATACTACCTTTAAGTGTCTATATATTCATATATATGCATTTAAAGTATATGTGTGCATATATGAAAACATATACATATATACATATGGAGAGATATATAACACAATGTACACAACATTAACAGTCATTATTTCTGGGAAGCAGAATTTCTTTTCACTTGACTGTGTTTTACGAATTATCTACAACGAACATGTATCCCTTTTGTACTGAAAAAAAAAGCCTTTACAAAGGTAATCTGAAGACCTCCTATTTATGTAATTGAAAGCTGCAGTCTTCTGAGTGGAGCAAAACCAGAAATGGAAGAAATAACAAAGAATAAACCATCACCTCCCCTCAACAACACAGCATGAAGATAAAAAGGCCTTCCAACAAATTAAGTCTCAGTGAAATTCTCCAACAGCCACTTTCAGCTCAGCAGAAAAGCACACATTTTCTCTTTATTGCCTGACTTAAGATGTCTGGTCACAGGCTCGCTGGAGTGAGGTGATACAGCCAGCCTCTCCCAAGCTCACCTGGGACATGGTTATCTGTGTGCTGCAGCGCAGCAGGTACGGCTAAGCTTTGCGGGACACCTTCCCCCCCACCCACCCCCTGCCGCTTCTCTGCTCCTGAGAACACCTGAAAACCTCATTAACAAATTCTTAAAGTTTCCTGCTGGGTGCTAATTTTGCACATTGCTCTCATTCTCCTAAAATGCAAGCATGATGGATTTCCTTGCAGGAGTAAAGTGCACAGAAAATGCTTTAAGGTCATAGGTGAGGGGTGGGATTTCGTTTAAGTGTCTGAAAAGTTTAGATTTCCACAGTCAACTGCACACTAAAGAATCTTCCCAAGTGACTCTTTTGGTAATAAAGCCTTTCTCCCTCATCTCCAAATCCACCCTGCCGTGCTCTGTTCTTTGCCAGCTACATTTCTGCTTGGCCAGCTTCTCGCCGTCAGGTTTCTGCCAATAGGGGGTGCATCAAGGAGTCTGTGAGTATGGCGGAGCGAGAAGGGACCGACTCATCCCCACTGGCGCACTGTTCCTGTCAGCATCACTCCAGTAAGGTTTCTTCACCCTGGCAGTAACGTTTGTTCCCTCAGAGATACCAGAACCAGCAGCACCCCCAACTCAAGTTACTAAATGTTAACAATTCCGACCTCTTCCCTGTGCTCCCCAGGCCTAGGGGTAGGAGCGGCTTCCTGCAGTTATGTCCTTGAAATATCTCCGTGTCCCCCTATTGCCTTTCTGGATCTCCTATACCTGGCTGACAATTCTTTATATTCAAATCTGTTGAAACAGCTAATGTGGTTTCTGTCTCCTGACTAGACCTGAACAGATTCAGTCGGAGAATTCAGTCTCAATAAAAGGTGAGGGACATATTATAAGTTGGACATTAGGACATATTAGGCGACTTGCTTCCATTCTAACATTTGGGCTTGTAATTGAGAAGATCAAACAAATAAATGGAACCATGTGTATTTATAACACCTGCATATTACAAAGGGCAGCTATACAGACATTTAAGAATTGGGACCAGCTGTGGCTGGAGTAATCTAAGTCATGTAGTTAGTTCAAGAAAACTTGAAGAAAGAAATGCATTTTTAGGGCTGAGTGATACAACCTCTCAGAGAGAAGGAGGAAAGTCATTCTGGTAATGGCTTTGCAGAGCCTCCCCAGCACTTAGCACAGAACCTGAAACATTGGAGATGATCAATAAATATTTGCCTAATTATTAAACTCAGTGACTGAGTTGGCTTGTTTTGTTGGTGTGGAGAGGTTAGGTAATCTTGACCTTGGAAGTCTTACTTGTGTGGCCATTCAGATCATACCAGGTTTGTAATAATAGGGGCCAGGTCACTGGAAAAAGATACCTAGGAAGTATAGGGAGAGGATGGGAAGTTTGGAGATGGCCGGGATTTATTTCCTGAGTGCAGAAACAACCCCTGGACTTCAGTACTAATGATAGAAATGGTAAGGATATGGAAAGAGAAAAATAGAAGGAAGAATCTACATATGTGGGGATCAATTTAAGGACAAGGAAGAGAAAAAGCCATCACTCCACTGTCATGAATCTGAGAAAAGAGAAGAAGAAAAGGGAAAGAACAGAGTTATCAAAGCTCAGCGCTTAAGTTAACATGTTAGTGGAATGACTAAATGGAGATTGCCCCTGCGCAGAAGGGGAAAATGATTCCAAAATAATGGAGAAAATTTCAGGCCTGGAAATGAAGATGGTCAACCCATATATACCTATAAATTGTGACTCAGTGATCAGTCAGCAATGTAAAAAGTGAGGAGACTCAAAAAGTAGAAGAAACAACGCAGGTCCTTGGAGAAGTTTTTAAATATGATTTACAATGACCAGTTATTCGGCTTGTAGACTGGGAACAAACAAAAAAAATGGGTTTAAACTAGAGCTTGAGGGACTTAGATTAAATTCAGTATTTGCTGAGAAGTTACAAAATCTCCTTCTCTAGACTTTTAAAAAATAAAATTGATTCTTATTTGTCTAGAGTGGTATGACTGTGGACCTGCGTAAACTTCTTAGAATAAAATCTACTCTTTGATTTCCCTTCCATCCTTATAATATCCTAGAAGGACTTTTAGTAGTTGGTTAGTTCACTCAAGGTCATGTACAGTGAGAGCCAGGTAGAAATCAATTTGCCAAGTCTGAAGTGGGTTTCATCTCAAGTGGTCATGTTATATCTATTCCCTTCAAATAAATAATAAACAGAAAGAGTGCAGCCTCTCAGATGCCTGGTGATTTCCACCATGATGCCCAGACAGAACTGTTCCTGGCAACCCCTTACTATTCTCACTGACTCGGAGCAGCAGAAATGGTGGGCAGTTACGGTTGAGGAAAGAGATGCCAAATGGGTTACTTTCTCAAAATGACTAAAGCTTTGATACTTTCTGCCATCTTTAGTCAAAGAAATGCACTCTCAAGAACAAAAATAATAAGAGCATATATTTCGGAACTATGGCACTCCATTGACATCTCCATGATAAGGATTTTTCAGACATCATTTTATTTAATCTCCACAATATCCCAATGAGATATATATTATCTGTTATGGGTTGAATTGTGTCCCCCTCAAAAATTCACATGTAGAAGTCCTAACCTCTGGCATTCAGAATGTGGCCTTATTTGGAAATAGGATTGTTGCAGAGAGAATTAATTCTTCATGCGGGAGTATGATGGGCCCTTAACCCAATATGACATGTCTTTATAAAAAAGAACACCATATGAAGAGACAGACACACACACAGGGAGAACAACATGAAAAGACTGGAGTTACGCCAGCACAAGCCAGGGAACTATCAGAAGCTGGGAGAGAGGCCTGCAACAGATCCTTCCTTAGCACCTTCAGAGTGAGCATGGCCCTGCCAGCACCTTCATCCTGGACTTCTAGCCTCTAGAACTATGAGACAGTAAATTTCTGTTGTTTAAGCCACTCAGTTTGTGGTACTTTGCTACAGCAGCCCTAGCAAACTAATATACTATCATTATATCTGTTTCATGGATGAGAAAAATAAGGAAGAAGTAGGTAGTAACCTGACTTCAGAGCCTGAGCTTTAAAAGCCTCTATGATCTCCCCCCTCCACACCATTTAATCTGACAGTGGTGATGTGAGGGTTATATTGAAAAACTAATGATAATAGTACTAGTTCAGTAATTCTTGACCATATCTTGAATTAACAAGAATAAGAAAGTACATATATACACATGGGAAGCTCAGGCCTTAATTACTGTGTTCCTGATCAC